TATGAAAATAAAATACTTCATACATACATATAATCGACCGGTAGAACGCAATGTAGAACCCGGTACCTGTGTACATAGGTTTATGTTTCCATAGTTCATTAACACAAAGGGATGAAACTGTCAAATCTTGCTTCATTACATAAGAAATTTTCAATACTGACTTAGTGATTATAAAGTAGTGAGAATCCAAACAATAGGTCAAAAGTTAGAACCCTATGATAGTCACTTCAATCTACGACAGACGAATAGTATCGTCAGCGTGTCTAAAGAAACAGTACAGTTGGAATATTGTCTATACAAGGAGGATTTTCGAAAGACTACTGATAAGTCACCTTCAATGAACTTCATAGAATAATCAATCAATCAATAGAATTAGTTTAAACAAACCAGAAGCAAAGCTATAAAAATTTGTTACATGAGTTGTGTAAGTGTATAACAGTTAATCGGTTTTCGTTGTTATTGGTTGACAAGAAATTGTTAGCATAGTGGCTTCAAAAACGAAGAACGTGAAGCAATCCAGTATATAGAAGCTACTTGCAGAATAGAAAAGTTATCGAAATGGTAACTGCATACAGTACGATTAGACTGATTAATTGCAATCGTAAACACCAATGGGAACATTAAAACAGCCAGTACAAAAATCAATGAAACATCACCCATTGAGTAAGTCAGTGGCTATCTGGACTCAGTAAGTGGATAACGCGATATTATTTGAAGCGAACGGTAGTGGGTCCGAGTCCCTGGGCAGACATCAACTACGATGCAGACACACCCAGTTGACGAGTACCAAATAGAATGAAACGCGAGTCCTGGACTTCGCTACTAGCCACCATCCATCTCTGCATCTAGTACGATTAGACCGTTCATAAAACTTGTAGATAAGTACTACAGGAAATATAAGGATGAAATACAAACACTCCATCTCGCACACACACATACACAGATAAACGAACACAAAAAATCATTAACTACGTGAAAAAACATATGTGAACTAAAAAAGGAGCTTTTTACGCTTATGTATGTGTCTACACAAGTGCGTACACGCGAGAATAAGGTAGAATGAGGGCGGATTAAAAAAAAAGAGTTTATAAGTAGACGAAAAAAAGACAAAGAAAATTAAAAAATAAATAATTAGATTTAACAGACATTAGGAAACGCCGTAGGGTAGATGTGAAACAGAAAAAAGAACCAACAACTAGAAAACCATCCACTAGTTTAGTTAGTGACCTAGAACAGATGGATGGATGACACTTTCTTTTAGATAGACAGAAAATGTTTCATTTCACTCTACACATCTTACCAAAATACATATTTTCTGGAGCAATTAAAAAAACAACAATATAGAACCTGGGATGATACAAGAAACCACGCGGAAAAAAGGATAAATGCAAAGAGAATACACACACAAAAAGTTCATCATCCTTTGAAAAGTTAATAAGAAGCAAAGTAACAATAACAATAATAATAGATAATCATAACAACTAATAATAAATGAGGAAACTCCCCCCCTTTATTATTGCCTAACATACACAGATACATTTATTTATAGCACGATAATTTACAAAATAAGGAGAAAGTCAAAATGACCTATCCCATCATCACATGTAGGTATGTGAACATGTGAACACACACACACACAAACATTACGAAGTTAACAGCTGTGGAGCATAAATTGTGGTATGATGTCATGAGAGTAAAATTTCTATTGTTAATCAGCAAACTGATGAAGAAAATTGAGAAGTGTGATGCATCTTTTTTACTCAACTAAATACACATTAAGAAAAGCATCACAACTGATATATTAAATATATGCTGGCATACATTTTTTTTACACACACAAACGCCATATTTTCGCAAGAAAACTTCGATAGAAAAAAGGTAACTTAGTACTTCATGACTTACAACTCAGATGATATAACATTTTCCGATTCATTGTGCCTTAAATAACAAAATACTTAGTAATCATATACGGCATTGCACAAAACTGTTTCATTTTAGTTTTAAGCTCATCGTTATATATATATACGGGGTCAAACAAACAGCCTCCAAGGTTTGGCAGTGATTACGGACGAATTGAGAATAAACGATCTCAATATTTGACGTCAATTAATTTATTACAAATAGCATGACTATCATAGAATTCTATAGATGATAACTGTTTCACTATCGACACGATTAATTTAAAAGGCTATGAATTCTCATTGAAACTCCAAGAATTCACATTGAAGCCAGTTAACCGTGACAACAACTATGTATAGTTAGATAATCAGTAAAAAATACGAAAAACTAAATAGCCGTTCTATCCTAAAGTAAGAGTTTACAAGATTGTGCGTCCATGATGCCATAAGGGACCCAGGACAAGCTAAGCAGCAACCTTTCTTTTCAGACCCCTGTATTAGTATCAACGGTTTGCCTCTATAACTTCAGTTTATTCGCGATATCATGCGACTATTGTCTATTGTTGTTGATGACATTTGTCTTACGCTCAAAGTGATTGAACTTTACTGATTACGGCTTCCCAATAGAACTCCGAAAATGACTTCTTAAATCTAACGGCTAGCAAGCACATAAGTTAGTAGATGCATAATGCTGTGGAATTCCACAATAGAACGGAAGAGCTGTCAGGTTTTTAATAGTTGTTCTAACTAAAGTTACAATATATATTCATGTCTAAACATTGAATTCATATTTTTAAAATAGTGCGATGACCGTCCATTGCCATTAGTTACAACCATTTCGCTCCTGATATGCCTAACATTGCACTAGTGACGACTATTTTACCAGAACTTCGAGAACACCTTGAAGTAACTAATTGATGAGCTGACTATTATTATTCACCCGAAGGGATTTAGTAGATATTGAATATAATTTCGTTACAGATCGATACTAGAACGAAAGACTTGTCCAGTACTCCTTGGTTTGCAGTGGGAATACCCTCCAACTGAAATTGATCTGTGACAAATGAAGCTTACAAGTTAAAAACCAATCTCAATGATACCCCTTCAACTAAATTGAATATATATATATATATATATATATATATATATAGAGAGAGAGAGAGAGAGAGAGAGAAAAGGGTAGAGATAGTAGTGATAAGCATAATCACAATAAAACAAGATAGACAAATGAAAGTATAGAGAAAAAGAAAAACAAATCAACTGACCATTAAACTAACTGGTTGACAAAAAATTGAGCAAACGAATGCACCAACACAAAATGATCACCACTGATTGACCACCATATATACTTGAGACAAAAATAGGTTGGTGGTTGTTAGTGGTCAGAGAAAACAATTACTTTTTCATCATTTCAGTTAGAAAGATTAATGGAAGATAATAAGTCAAGTAAAACACAACGAAGGTATATATATATACTTATAGACGCGCTTGACCAATAATTATAATTGTATATCGCGATTTGTCGGATATGTATATAATACAAGTGTTCTTTTCAAAATTGAAATTAGACTACTTACTTTAAACATATTCAGTAGTTTTGAACATATATGGGGAAGTGCTTGAAAATGGAAGTAACCAATAGATTTATTATATAGAATAGGTAAAATGTGGCTAACGGTGAAGTTCAAGTTGATAATATCACTTTTAACATCAAATCTGATTATTCAGACTTTCCTTTAAATTGGTTCACAGATATGTATTATTGAAGAGGCTAAAACTAGGGTGGACGAACCAATTTCCCGACTTTCAATGATTCACTAAATGATGTCATAGTTAATGATGAAAAGAATCTCTTCATCGAAATGAATAAATCTATACAAATAATTTTACTTGTCAAATACCTCCAATCACGTAACATCAAAAATAGTTCATACGGTGTCGTGACTACATCACAAATTGTTGATCATAGAATTCAATCGGCACTAACGGATTAAAGTTGATAAATTAAATTCAAATATCTTACAATTGGTTAGTTGCTGTACGAATAGTTTAGTAGTAATGTTTCAAACTGCAGAATTAGGTAAACCAGGTTCAAATTCTACAGTGAGAATTATTTTTCCCAAGAGTGTAGATACCCCTAGTTATTTCTTACCGACTATTTTCAAGCACTTAACACCGTCCTCCTCTATTTTCATCAGTATTTAAGTGATTAGTCTAATTTTGAAAAAGTAAAATACAATGACTGAACATCTACTCACTGTTTACATTGGTTTTATAGCTAATTCAATTAATTTCAATTATTTTGAAGTATTTAAAGATCATGATTATAGATGATGTCAACACAATCTACACGTGGATGAAATAGTACTATTGATATAACAAAAGTCCATCATAAAGTAGATATAATATTAGGTAATCTAGATTTAAACGTTGATATAATGGGACGATTAATGTGAAAGTATAACTTTAGAGACTTATATGAAAGGGCATTATATATTTACATTCGCTTACTTCTAAGCTTTTGGTAGACTAATAAATCGTTGTCATACGTCTTATTATTTCAGGTTTGTTATTCATAAATTAATTCCCGTGTTACTCTAGTTTTGTATCACTTATGATCAAGTTACGTACACACTGTAACTCCTTAACCGTATTGCTATGTGATCAGATATTTAAAGTATATTACTGCATGAGTTTTAAATCACGACTAAATTGCGTACAATAGAGAACTGGTCTACATTCTATGTTTTGTCTTTTCATTGACTAATGGGTTACAAGGAGCTAGAAGACGAATAAGCTTTGAGATCTTGGTCGTAGCTCACTAGACGGTATCTCATTCAGTCCAGATCACCGGACCTGCAGACAATATAGACGAACTGATAACTAGTCGAACTAGAGAAAAAGAGGTCCTAAAATTCCTTTCGTGTCATTACACAAAGATCAAACGTGACCGAACACAACCCAAGTAGTTGTCTTTTTTTTAACCAACATAACAAACGAACCATTCAGAAACCAAAATCTGAAAAGAATGTTAAACAGACAATACATATTAAATAGATGTAAATGAATATTCACATTCTAGCTACTAACCAATGATTGATATTATTCGTCAGATCTTTTCGCTAATTCACCACGCAATGAGGTGTGAGGCCGCATGGAACTGTAACTTCGCTGTTCTTCCCTGGACCCAATAAATCGAGATGACGATGATGAAACACTTCCACGATCTCTTGAAGTAGAATAAGAATTTTGAATAGGACTGCCGAGTAATGAATTACTAGATCGGGGAATTCGATTAATGGGAACACGCGTGTCTCTGGGAAAATTACCTGGTGAAAAAATGTAGTAACAGAAAAAAGATGGTAGTTTCACTTATCCGAAAACACGTACATGTTACAAAAAATCCTACGATAAATTTAGAATTACCTATTTTCATCAAAAATGCTAAAAATTGCCTGATGGTTTCTCCAACCGACATCTAACACAAGAATGTGACATATTATTTCAACGCAAAAATCTTTTACACTTAAGATTCGAAACAAATGGTAAGATATAAGAAGCTTTGCTTTTAAGGATAGTCTGGGTGCAAAAACCAAGGATATTCATAGGTTTATGAGTGACATTGATGTTCTTCTAGGAGCTTCTGTGAACATGCTAAAATCAATGACCAGATAGGTAACTATTCAAACAACATATGACGCACAATTCATTAGTTTTGTAGAATTTCCTAAAAAGCAACTTGAAGTACTTTCAATCCTTTTCCAAACGCCGAAGAATTTTTCCGAGGACCTCTCGAATGATCTTAGTTATCTCTAAAAGCACATCAATGACAAAGTTAAATAAGAATAGAGAGATGTTTATACATATAGATAAATTGATATTATATGCAAGTTTCGGTCTCAATGTATTAGAGTAGTTTAAATGTGAATCATTCTTGCATTATCCTTTCCATACAAACATAATCGTTAGAAATAATCTAATTGAATTTACGTATATATAACTAACAAATTACTCTGTTGATCACTTGTTAAAATAATTAAGAATTATGAGTTATAGAAATGAACAATTGACTTTCACAACAACAAAAGTTATTTCATATTTATAGCACTAGTATTGTAGTGAACAAGAACACTAGTGGGGACAATCGAATGTATTTAACACAACAATTACAGACTATCCCAGTAAAGTCTGAATACCATATAGTAAATTGTCAATTTGCAAAAATATTCATGCATCAAACCAAACTGGACTGTTTCTGTTGCAAACACCAATCCATTGTCTCCCATTCCATTGTTCATGCGTTTTCTTACAAATTCCATTGTGTTCTCGCTCTTCCTTTCTTCATCTTCCCCATTTTCTGCTGCCAGACATCACGTTCTTTTAACTCATGTTATATACTACTCATATCAATATAAGTAGCTCACACCACAGTATGATTAATGATTAAAATTATTTGTTATCTTGTTAACATGGTATTCTAGGGAAAACAATTATAAGACAATTACAGTTGGATATTTTTCTTTTGTATTGATGGAAAAAAACCTATGGTTGACATATCCTCTTTTTTCTTGAATGAACTCGAGGATAGAAGGAAAAAAACATAGTTATTTTTATGTTGATACAAATTTATTGTGTATTTGATAAGTATATTCCACTGTCTAATAAATTGCTAAGTTTCCTTGTATATTATCCAATGAATTATTGAAAGACTTACATAGATTTGTATTAGATGGCGGAGATGGTAGTCTAGCATCTACAACACGACTTGGACTGCCTAAAAGTCCTCGTTCCGATTCTATTCGAGGTCGGCTGTATGATGAATGAAGAGGAGGAGAATATTTTCGACTACCAGAAGAATACATTGATGATTGTCGACGAACTGGTGAAGCTTGAAATCGTCTAGATCTAGCACGGCTACTGTTGTGATAACTACTACCCGACGAGCTAGAAGAATGAGATGATGAGTCGGAAGAATTCCCAGGAACTGATCCCAACTCTATGGCCATAGCGCGTCGTTCAGCACGTAAGCGTTTTTCTTCTTGACGTCTGAGAAGGCGAGCTTGTCGACGAAGTCCTTCTTCTCGAGCCTATAGAGAAATAATAACAGTTTGCAAAAATTTTCAAGAGTATAACATATTTATATTGAAATAAACAGAATGGTAAAATCTGATATCAATAGCTGAAATATTGGACTTAATCAGTGTACAACAAGTGTGTAATATTGAAATCTAGAAACTAAATTGCTTTAATAACAAATTACTACTTTGTATTCAAGTGAACGAGAAATAAGTGGATGTTAACTGCTAGCGATTATTTATGGACTATTATGACATATATTCCTACTAGATAACTATTAAGTAACTATATTATATGTATATTCATATTCCTTTTACCATAAGCGTTCATTTGACGTACTGACTATTATTATACGACTTACCATTCTTAAGTTATTCTCAATTTATTAGTTACAATCTCTTACGTTCACAGCCACTTTTGACTTGATCTTGTATAATTGTTATTTTTTTAATTTTGGTGCAGTCTGATCCGCTTATATATAAACTACTTATACCTGAAATATACGATTCATACAGTGGATGCTGATATTTGTGTTCTGGACTCAACGGGCCGGGTTAGTTTAGAAGTTATTGTTTTGTGGACATATAAATATTGGTACAAAGGGGCACCGATTACATATGCGCCACACAAGTCACTTGACTTGTGACCAGTAAGGACTCATAGTTGACTCTAGGCTGTTAGTGGTGATTAAAGCATCGTTGGTTTAGTACAGAGACAAGGTTACATAGGTCGGTGTTCTGATTGGCAAATGTCACGTGATAATTAACAGGGTCATAAGTTATAACACTTAGAATTGACACATATCAATAACTTGTACATTTATAATTTTGACAGAAATCTTTCTTCTTTCCTCATTGTTCACTGTATTTTTTGTATAAGAAATATCTTACTTATACTTATAACTTGGTTGATATTTAGGAATTATAGTCTTAAGCCCATATTCTTCTACTTTACATGTATGACCAACCATATGAGAAATGAATTAAAATCATTTAGATCATAACCGGTTATTAAATTTAATTTTCTGCTAGTGAATTTCCAAAGGGTTTAGATATTGTGAGAGAAAAAAATACAGTCTTAGAGGTGAGAAATTTACATGTAGATACTTGAAAAAAAAAACTTAACAGACAAGAATCCGATTACACAATAACACGAACTTCATAAAAAAAGAAGCATCAACTGAAGAGATGTTGAATAATTTAACACTAATGAACGATTCAAATTTTGGTAACAATAGGATGAAAGAATACTGGAAAACCAGGAGAAATATACAAACAATGTATTAAAAGAAAACTGTCAAACATATGAACGAAACGATCACTTCGAATTTAGGATAAAAACACATCAATAGTGCTGTTTTTTAAGTATATTGTATTTCTATGAAAAATGAACGGAAAAGTAGACTTAATAAATCTATATAATATAGATTTTTGATAGCAAGAATCTTATAATGGAGCGTTGATGATGTGACAGTAGAAACTAGCCAGTCTATTTTTTATTTATAACTATAGAACAGTTAAATATGTGTTAATTTTGCATTGATTGATCACTGAGTAGTGTGCATGTGATGGCCAATGTTATACTTGTATAGTATTCTTCAGTGTTGATCAACTTCTATCGATTAACAAAGTGTAATATGGTCATTACACTAGTTTAAGTGATGTTAGATGGTTGGAGTAAATTGTATTTGACCTATATTTCATGCTAGTTGATACTCATTAGAGTAAGGTGTATCTGCTGATTGATAACTTTAAAACTGAGACAACTCCAGTAAACTAATATAAGCATTTGGCATCAAATATATGGTAAAGTGTTTTCATGTATAAAATCTCATGTTGCTATGTTCACTTTAGTGAATTATTAATTAGAGCTATTAAAAAGAATATAAATAACTGAGTAAACATGTTTACACTATAATTGAGAAAAAGAAACAATCAAGAAACAAAAAAACAATTAGTGACTAATATAGAGAAAGAACAGGGTAATCACCATATAACAATAATAATAATAATATTGACTCAGCACATAAATTGTTAGAGAACAAATATGAAGCGAATTAGCCTATACATGTGTGAGCGGAAAGAAAGCAATATTGGGCAACAAAAATATATATATTCTCTCAGGAAAGCGACATAGGATCAAAGGTCAATAATCATAATAATATGCCTTGTAGTATGAAGTTGAGTGTGAATGACTAGTCTCAATTGTACAGGAAACATGTAGAGAAAATAAACCCACTGGTTAACAACAAATTCTACTACTATTAATCCTATTACAAAAGACGGCAACAAACAACTCGAATAATTGATACACGCAAAACAAAGATAAGTGTTCAACAACAACAAGAGAAGAATAAAAACCTAATACAAAAATATAACAATTTACGGAAAAATACTATATAAATATACACAAGCACAATACCAAACGAACGTAAGCATAAGAGAGAAGAATGAGGAAATAAATGCACAACCACAAAAAAAATAGTAACTAGAAGTAAATAATGTTTGAAAAGACAACAGATATACTACTACTGCTGATATAACAATATAACAGTAAAGAAAATAATAATTATGAATAAAAACAAAAATTCAAATAAAAAGGTAGAGAGAGAAATACTAAAAGTTAAAGAGTTATTTAAATAGACGATGTCACATTCAATACAGTTTGGATGAAGAAATAAACTCATATTATAGTGTATGCTACTTATTTCGACAGATATAAGTAGCATGTAACACTGATCGAAAGTGGGAAATCTGGCAACAGAAGGTTGCGAAGATCGAATAGACGAGAACGGGAACAGAAAGTAATCGGTATGAAATGAAGGAACAATAAAGTCTGAGACAACTAATGGACATTTTGTAAATGAAGGACTGAACGTATGGTTTTCGTATTTTACCAGATAACTGTAATTTTGTGCTAAAATATATTTGGTCGTCCTCACCTGTGTTTTCGTTCATTACAATATAAGCATATAAAAATGAATATGTATTGTATTTACAGGTTTGTCCATGAAAAGTCATTAGAATGACATTCCATACACAGTAGCTTTCCATTATCCAATCGTACCGCATCGTGAACATCTAGTTCAATCGTCAGAACCCTATTCTTTGTTCGGTGGTTGAATGAGGTGACAACAAATATTATATTTCGAGCATACGTAGTTACATACAGATATTCTCGACCGTAAAATGAAAAATAACAATAATACATGATCAAGCTAAAAGGTAGTTGTGAGTAGGTGAGACTGAACAACGATTTGGTAACAGATTAAAAGTAGTGAACCCTATCTTTTCCCGTTATCTTGATAAACAACTCATTGACCAAGAAAAAATGAACCTGTTGACCGATAGAATTCGATCAGCGCTAAGGGACTAGACAAGCATAACACTAGGATCAGTCTTCTGAGTGATCAATCAGTTGTAAATACAACATTTACCTGACGTTCTCGTTCCAATTGGATTTGTTTTTCTAACTCGGCTTTTTTGTCAGCATTGACTGAAATATTAAAATAAAATATGATAATAGTTTAGACATAACAATACTTAGTAGATTTAAAGTTAAAAATGTAAGGTAGTATGTAGTACATGGGATTGCAGCAAAACGTAAACAATCATTATGAAGCACAAGTTTATGCACTTTGTTTAACACTAGTTAAACTGTCTCTAGAAAGGATATGCAGTAAAACTGATGTAGATGAAGTGAAATACCAAACAACGACCTTTTCTCTGATATTCAACTACTTAAAACATTAGACACTACTGAAAGGAACATAAATCAGTGATGTATGGATATAAATTAATCTAAGTAACTGTATATAAGAGAATAACGGAATGGGAACGCAAAAGATAGTTGGGAATTGAGGAAGAAAAAAGATAGCAGTCAGTAAAATACGAAAAGACAATATATTAAAATATTCAGTAAAATAAAAAGGCGATGAACGACTCCTTTCTTCTACTTTCACTGGTAAATACACAGGATACAAATAGTAACATTATTTGAATAATTAGTAGAGACTATGTTTAACGCAGTAAAAAGTAAAATCTTAGAAAACCGTTAAAAACCAGAAAGGACTTGACAGCCGTTTCATCTTAGTATGGGAAACTCGATAGTGAACTTTTACGACCCAACTAGGCATCGAACATGAATATCCTGAATTCGACCTCCAGTGAGGTGATGAGAGATCACAATTGAGCCCCACATACCAAGATGAAACAGCTATCAGTTGCTTTCTGGGTTTAAACGGTTTTCTAACTAAGATAAGTTCGTGATGTATACTATGAAATTTAACAAACTCCACAAACAATCTGTAATAAAAATACAAAGGATTTAAACCACACTTGATATTCGACGCAACAGCACAAACGGATGTTGGGTTGGGAACTTTTAACCAAATGATTGTCACCACTAAATACTTAATATATGAACTGCAGATCTATTCATTACACTACAAGAACATATTCTATCAAGTAAGTTATGTGCTTACACACTGATCTCAACAATCAGATATTAGGTAGAGTAATCATGATAAGATGTGTGTTATATCATAACAGGCAAATCGTATCAATGTACACACAAACGTAAACATGCACACAAAACAATTAAATTCTAACAATTGAAAAGATATAAACACATGAAAATTAGTCAAATAAATAGCCACTAAAATCTAACAGACAAAATTACGGAATACTGTAACGAAATGTGTTTTCATTTTGTATTTAAAAAATCTATTTCATTTAGAACAATAAAATATGCTTATCCTTAATGTCTATACAAAGGTCAATTTCAATAGATTTAACCTCTAGACCTACTCAAAATTTAGATATACAAATTTGAATACTAACATAGAAATATCTATGATTAATTATTATGATAAAGATTAATTAGACAGAAAGAACCGTCAAGAAATCATTATAAGATAAAATTAGTGATAATAATAAATGGAAAGGTTTGTGAAGGTTATTGATAAAATGAATCGACCTAGGTTAGATATATATTGAAAATTATGAATTACTGAACAGCTTGTTTCGTCCTAGTATGGGACTTCCCAGTAATACATATCTACGACTTGGTTCGATTCGTAATATCAGTAACATTCAATTTTCACAAACCTCTACACTGATAGTTAACATGGATTAACTAGTGACTAGTTTCAACAGGCGATTCTGAAAATTTAGTGAGAAGCCGTGACCAATAAAGTTCAGAAGCGTCGGGTGTGAGACAGTTTTCAAACAGACACTAAAAAATGGTTGAGCAATATAGCAAATCGTGTGAAGTTAGATATGTAGACTATTGAATGCTGGTTAATGGCCAAGGGTTTAGAAAAAGATCTGAAGGCCTTGATTTCGGTCGTGGACGCGCACTGCTGAGGAGTCCCACATGAGGACGAAATAGATGCCTAGTGGTTTCTGGCTTTCAACAGATGTCTAACTTAGTTTGGTTTGTGATATCAAAAAATATTAGAAATAAACAGAAAGCTCAAATAAATAAGATGAAATATAGAAAACAACAACAAGTGGTTATACTTTATACAACCACTGTCCCACATATCTCACACAATTTATTGATGGACAGATAATTTTATTTGTTTATACAGATGGATTAACTTGTTCGCCAAGTACTTGGGTATGAGCCACACTTTGAGTGTGAAGCCTAATGATACTAACTAGTTGTCCAAACTGAAGTAGGTGGAGTGAAGTCCGAACTTGAAGTTTAGTGGCTGAAAGTCGAACGCCTTAACCATAAATATGTACACATATAATGTATAGGGAAAAGTTGAACAAATGTAAAATGTGAAGTTACCAAAACAACGTGAACAGAGACATAAATTCATCAGTATGGGTTGAAGAAATAACTAAATGGAACGTGATCATAGAAGCTATGAGACAACTGTGTGAAGCTGGTGGAAATTCGTGGAGAAAGGTGAGTTTTTTCATTTCCAGACCCGATTATTTCTAACCTCTTTCTTTTATTATGAGAGGGCAGTATAGCTGCAGAAGCTGGTTGTCTGAGGGAAACATCCATCTTCACATCTCTGCAGTCACCAGTACGACTTCGCCACAGAATTTTAAGTTACTGCTTCTAGACTTAAAGTTTTTCACCTGAATTGTCCGGCATGGTAGGAACTGAAATAACAAATGTTTCGCTCAAAATATCTCGACTGAGTGATCATGATATGGCAAAATTGACCAGCACGTTAAGGTGGCAACTAAGATTCCAAAGGACCTAGCACCTTAATCTATTTGATATCGTATAAGCTTCAGCTATTCAAAATTTTAAATAACTCCCTATCATAAATCACATAAGAAACAACGCTAACTTACAGGCTTTAGTAAGCTGAGACTGAACACGACGTTTCAATAATTCTTGTGGCATAAGAGAACGGACTGTCGAGCCAACAACCCCAGGAGTCTAAAGAAAAGTCAAGGGAATATTGAAACAACAAATAAGGTAAGTCAGAGAAAAAACAAAGCATTATATATAAGAGTACAGTTTCTTTGAAAAGAGAATTTCAGCAAGAAATAACATTATATTGTTTGGATGAACAGACTCGATAAGTTAACATTGAAAATAGTGATAATCTTTAAACCTTTATGCGTGGAATATCGTTAAAGGTAGCATGCTTAATTGTGATTAATATTTATTTAAAAATAGGAAGAGATTATTGGAATCTACAAACATAGCATACTAAAAATAGATTAATTTTAATAGATCACAGAACCCTGTGGTATAAGAGATAGAATTTTTTGAGGAATGTTTTATGAATTTTCAGTTATTTTAGCTTAAATGACAGACAGACTGTTACCATCACAACATGGCATGAAAAAAATTGTCTTGGATCAAATTCCCATACCATATTAGCACAACCATATGAAATACAATAAAACAGGTTGAACTGTAGAAACTTTCATAAAAAGAAATACTAAAACTTAGAAATATGCTCCGAAAAGACTAGATCGAAAGGCACATATGAAGTTATACTTTACCAATTGATCGTTGTTACCAAGCGGACATCAACCAGAAAGTTTGTATCTACCTACACGGTTAAAACCAACAGTCAATGACTTCGTGGACTGACACCATGTCTTGGGTTGGTCACCCCTTTCTTTTTTCGACGTACTTCTGAACTACTAAGCATTACTCGAAGAGGTAAGGGGTATTAGTTAAACTTAACACATATCTCAATCCTCTGAGTCGACGAAGATTTAAAACCTCATATATCATCAATGAATGCATTAGAATTCCTGATTTGCATACATAAATGTACTGTTAGCCTTTCTGGATTCACATAGTTAACTGACTCCGATGAACTGTTCATCTTAGCAAAACAAGAAAAAGCATTCGGTATAGTAGTTTATACTGGAACACACTATATGATATGTTTTGTTAGAAATAATGTTTTGCCCATCAAATATGATTCTATTCAGTAGAATAATCCCACAATCAATACTATGTGATAGTAAACTAAGGTAATTTGTCTGTAAAATGCATTTAAATGGAGAATAAATCATGAAAGTATACAAATCTACTCAGATGAATATATTCAGAGTAGTGTTGGTCATATCCTAATATGTCGGCAACTTATTTGCCAAGTACAGGTTCATCTATCCGGCTTTGAATCATAATGTTCTGATCAAATCTAGTAATACTACTCGATTATATAAACCGAATTAGATAGAACGACATTCAAACATGCAACCTGCTGGCTGAAAGCCAAGTGTTTCAACCATCAAAATTATTGGTTCACAATAAATTGGAAAATTATACTGTATATGGATATCCACAGAAAATAATTCCACGAAGTTCATGTAAGTCAGAATGTTAGAAAGTTGGATGGGTGTGAGGTGATGAAAATTAACTGACTTTTAAATCATGGCTTGGACTAGGACCACCCGTGACCAATTGTTGAGACGTCATCTTACCCGCGAAATTTCCATATGAATTTGAATCCGACCTCCTGTTTAAAAAATGAGAAGAAAACCAAAATATAAAAAAAACTTCAGTTTTTAAAGATAGCCAACGACATTTTACGAAAAACGAAACCTAGAAACATAGTCTGTAACCGTGAAATGAATGACTATATGAAGGTTCATTAAATTACCTGTAACCAATACACTGGTGTATGATATCTACTGTTTTTACAATGCACACACTTAACAATTAGAAATTAGGTAAATGAAAATTCTTAAAATGTTATTGTATATATAAGTGAAAAATAACTTTTTTAATACCGATCAAACGTAATATACTACTACTAATAAGTACTGGTAATATCCAGATGAGTAGAAAATTAAATTTCTGAATCGAATCAAAAGGTATATATCCTATAGACAAAAAATATTCTGTTAATAATCCCGTAGAACTTGAAAACCTCCACGTTAAATCAACAATAGCAGTGCATCTAATTTCTAACAACCATCAAACCGATGATAGAAATACAAAAAAATATTCTAAATATAAAGAAAGGTGAGTAGCTGAAGCTTTCTAATTCCTACTACTCTGAATAGAAAAGAAAGCTTTACTATCCATCACCCACAAAATTACTTTCAACAAAATGACGTAACACCGAAGTAATCCAACCCATTTTGATAATTTTTTTCTTGTACTAAAATAATTCCTTATTTGTTTGTTTATTCTCGGAAGAAGTGACTTACGCTTAATAGCGAAACATCACAAATTCAATTTTCTACTCATTGGCATACTACATATATATCATTATTTTTATTACTAACAATCTATACATTGCTCAATCCATTCCAAAGTATTAAGTTTAACCTTGGTAATGATAACTGTGAATAAATATGATGAAAAAACAACTCTGAAATAACAAAATTAAGATAATAGGAAGGTGAATAGTACGAAAAGACTTCTAACTTATATACTTCATGAGAGGTATGTTGATTTGGCTGAAAAAAGTCTATTTTTACTTTGGAAAAAGTCAAGACACTATAATCCTTATATTTCGTGTGTTCAATAACAATATTGAACCCAGTGTTGCTGCAGTAGGTGCTAATTCTTCTATGGTCTGTATGCAACAAAATATGGAGACAAAATTGTGATTATATATAATACACCAACTCTAGAGAAAATCAGAACGAATAAATACGAGTGTTTAGCTACTATCGCTTACATCAAAACATCTACAAGGCACTACTACTTTATAGACATAATTTAACGCTATCCGAATGACAAAAAAAGAAATTTTCTTCAATCAATAGAGACTAAGCTACAAGCAATCGATCGCTTACCACGTGTGAAAAATCATATCGCCTGTTGTAGGCGGTTTATATTAAGTAAACGTTATCGATCAGAATTAAGTTTAAGTGAACAGTATACAATCATCTATAAATTGTAATTATGTAAACTCGTAAAATATGAACAAAGAAAATCGAATAAATTAAGGGATTGTTTAAAGTACGTGAAAACACTAGAATCACGTGTCAATTGATTAACAAATAAGAATAACTTTTTAAGGATCCTACTATACCGTATGTAACAGAATGGATGCCCTGAAAATGCTTCCAGTGTTTCTTTTGACAGCAGTGCAATTCTTTTTAATGAATTTCTGTCTCTCATTTTTCTGTACATGTACAGCCATATTTTGACACTTCTCAGTCTTCTTTGAATAAATATTTACTAGTTAACTTTAATTAAGATTTGCCTTTAATATACCGTTTGTTATTTTGTGACGTCGGACCACTGACAATAACGTCTTCCTCAGCAAAAATCAAGGTTACAGTATGGAGTAATTGCCTGTTAATGTTGTTTGGTTATCTGATGGAAATATTTGCAATTTGAATTGAATCTGACAGATAGAATTTTGAGTCCGTTTTACCGATTGTCAGGTATTTAATAATTATATTTAGTAACCACCTTTTTTACTACCTAGTACGTTATTTTGTATCAGAGAAACATTCGGCTATATACTGTCCAAGGAGCATCATTGAAATATTTCCCTATTTGTGATATGATTTATTATTATTATGTGGTGTCGTTTTCATGCATGAACATTGCGTGTAAAATTTGTGTTTTGATATCATTGTTGACTGTAAGTGACGCAACGAACCTTCGTGCCCTATAAAGAAGAAAGCAGTGGTTTGGATTAAGCAAATTAATTCTCGTTTTGTCGAATCATTTTCTGCATTTAGACAGAAATATCTGAATTTCAGTCGTAAAACCATATTACAATGAATAGTTTGTAAGATCATTTAGTGGGAATAATTGTTTATTAGCATTGATTTTTCAAAATATAAGATTTTCATAGTTACGTAATACAAATCATTTACTGAGGCAGTTTGAAAGTTCGAGAGCCTAACGATAATGTTAATTTAGTCGTTATTTCACCCAAAGAAAAAAAAGAAAGTTTAGAATTTCATCAATAAATTAATTACTAACACCTTAGTGTTTGATGAAACTGTAGCCAAACTGGACACAGATAACTGAACAGAGACGATTTCGTCAATAACAACTGTTAGAATTAGATAAAATATCAATAAGTTCCATAAGAAATGTTTAAAATTCCGTCCTCTAGAACGTTTTAAAAATAATGATTGTTATTCTTCTCTTCAAAACAAATGACAGATTGAAAAAATAATTTGAATTAAAAAAATGACCTGACAAATCTTCAAAACTATGATGTTATTTCAGGAAATTCACGGAAAATACCCATTGGATAATGGCAACAGCGTTGCTGTAAAAAAATCTATCGAAAAAGTGATAATTCAAACTATTATAAAATCAGAGTGAATATTAATACCAGGATGAAGGTATATCCAGTTGAGAAGTCCAGAAAGAGGACGAGACGTTAGTCTTAGATTCCATTGCTAGTTACAGTTAATATTTTCCATGGACCATTAGAATAGCCCAAAATGAACTTTATGCAACCAATTTGACTTAGGGAACATAATAAGCATCAAGAAAACCACTGAGATTTCCTCAAAATACATTTTTCAAATGATACGTACGGAACATTACTTCATTGAAAGGTTGTTAATCATATATGGCTTGTGTGATATTCCTTTTCGATTTATTGAGTAAGAAAGCTTTTTATACAGAACCTAATTATGCAAAAACAAAACCTATACAATTTTTAAGGAATTTATATATTAGTACATAGATGAACTGCGAACAGCTTCGACTAGCTCAATAAACGATTGAGTGACGTTTGTTGGTTTAATAATTGAACTACTTATAAGTAGTATAAAAGCTTTAGCTAAAACAAATTGACAAGGGAAACAGAAGCGACTGATATACTGGCACATACGTGCTTCGGCCCAAGTTGTCACAATACATTAGAACAGTGATATGAAATAGTAGAAATGGATGACTAGACACTGGAAATAGTAGTAGTAGTAGTAAAAAAGTAGTATAAACATACAATAGGACCTAAGAAGAACGAAATAATTTTTGAACAAAGATAATTTCAAAACTGAATATTTAAGAAACGAAGAAGTAGATGGATCTGCGCCAATTCGATAGATCGACCCAACACCTCTAATCCCTGGTCAAAACAATAGTGCTAATACCATCCGACTAGTCTTCACCTGAAAATAATAACTGGAATTGATCTGTATTTCTTTTCTGATCACTAATGCCGCCATTTACGTGAATGTAACTTATCAATCGGAAAAAAATACGAATTCCACTTGATTACTCATTTTATAAGTCAACAATCAAAGTCAGGCAGAACTAAGCACTACTATAATCACCTATTAGATAAATATCTATTGTTTAGAAATTTGGCATCTCAGTAAATTCTAATACACTGGAATTTTTTTATCAACCTCATTTACTAGGTGTATCGAATGATTTTACTGGTTTTGAGCCATACTTTAAATATGAAGGCTAATGGTGCTGCCTGGTTTTCTGGACCGAATTAGGCGGAGTGGGCTTTTGAACCTGCAATTTCATTCAATTTGGAATGGTATTACATTATCCCGTAGTTGATATTCCGACTGAAATTTGACTAGTCTTGGTTTGGATATGAAGATCCTGCGCGGATTGCCTTGATACATCCGTTGCCAGCCGATTTAGTCTATTCTATATTAATTTGTGTCATAATGGCTATATCAAGGAAGTCCACATATAAACAACAGGATAACACAAAGCATTCCAAATTAGATTAAGATTTAAACCCGTTGCACAAGTGAGTAGCTAACAGGATAAAAATGATGGTGCTTGAAGAGAAAGGTACTGGGTTCGAGTCCTTGAGTGAACATCAACTCAAGGATGCAAGCACATCCAGCTTACGAGTCCAAAATAGGACGAAACGAGAGTCCTGGATTCTACTGCAAGTCATATTTCATCTAGTCTATATTAACTGCGACTCAAAATCAAACAGTTTAACTATTGAGCAACAGCTCCATGTACATAAATATATCTACGAGTTGAAATTACCTTGAGGTTAATTGTTTTCCAGAATTCCCATCTGAAGACTTTGATGATTCTTTTTTAGTATCATTTTGTTCCTCGTCTGATAATTCCAATTCATCGGCAGATTCTAACTCAGGACGATAATATCGCTTGCGTACTAGAGGTGAAGGTTGTTTTTGAACGTTTGGTTGAATAACGGCGTCTTGTTCATACGGTGGATTTTGATTGAAGGATCTAGTAGACGGATTTGCACTAACCCTACAGCAACAGGGCAAAAACAAATAAACACGAGGTAAAATTAAAATGAGGATTAAATTTTGTTGTTGTAAGGTATAGATCGTGAAATAAACGTAAGTTTACAGTAACTTATTTTGGGTGGTATAATAACCTCGAGTTCTTGTGAGCTGTGACCAGCAGAGTTCAACCATATCAGGTATAAGAAACCTACCTACCGATGACGTAGGAAGATCATTATGCAATATCGAGAATTCATTGAGGTTAGACAGATACACTATTTAATGCAGGTTGACAACCTAAACGTTAAACATTCATAGCGAAATCCGAAGGTCTTAGGGTTTGAAGCCCAGCGAGGCCATGGATGCAAACAGCTGAGTCCCACCAATACAAGGATGAAATATGTGCCCAGCGCTTCCTGGTTGTCAATGGTCTTTTTCTAACTAAGGTCAATTGACGACGAAAACTGTAAAAATAAAACAATATTTCTGAGGATTTGAAAGATAAAGAGTGGATATATTCACGCCATTTTTCAGAGAAATAACAGCAGTAGTAGTAAATAACTGTATTTGGAAGTTTGTATTGAGTATATCACATAGACTGATACTAAATATCTGTCTCTATTTCAATTTTTTAGGAAACACAAAACTATTAAAAAATAGCACAAACGATAGAATACTAAATCTAATCCTTTGGGACAACAGCATACATAAAAGTATGAAAAAACAGTACTTTTCAAGGAAATATATACAAAATTATGAAATGGGAAGAGCCCCTTAAGTTTCAAACATTATAAAAGATGATTAGACAAGAAAATGAATAGACAGACATAATCAACATAAGGTCTGGAAAAGATATGTTTTGGATCAAATTCCCATACCATATTAGCACAACCATATAAAATACAACAAAACAGGTCGAAATGATGTAGAAACTTTCATCAAAAGAAATACTAAACCTTAGCAATATGCTCCAAAAAGACTGGATTGAAAGGTATTTATGAAGGTATACTCCACTAATTGGTCGCTGTTATCAACCAGCCTCCAATCGGAAAGTTTGTATCTACCTACATGGCTTAGATCAACAGTCAGTGACATTAAAGAGTGACACTATGTCTTGGTTTGGCCGCCGACAACTTTCTTTTAGCAAACTTCTGAACTACCAAATATCGCTCGTAGATGACAGGGGTGGTTAGACATACTTAACACATACAAACCACCTCAGTTGACGAACATTTACGACATCATCAACCAATTTGCTACGTACACTGTATGTCTAATCTCAACATTACTCATTCATCCCACAGAACAAAAAATAGTGCTAAAAAATACATAATTGTTCTTCTAAGCTTGACATAACGAATTAAACTATGTTAGACAACTACTGAAAACCAAGAAGCACTGGAAAAATATCCCGTCGTTCGAGTATGAGACCCCTCAGCATTGTTCATTTATGACCCCACCAAAGATCGGACCCAAAATCAGTCGATGGTGTGAAACTTTAAATTCAACAACCTCCACAATACCATAGAACATAACTGTCCTTTGACTTATGAATTATATGGTAACGATTTAAATTGTATAGTTAGTGCATATGTATTAAAAAGTTGATAGTTAGAGCCGTCAAACACCACTTAAGGAGCCGTGAATAAATAAGATTATTCCAACATCAGACTTAAGAGACGTAAAACAAAAGTTGATAAGGATTATAATTATAAACTGATAAACTTTTATAACGTAACAATCAAAAGAACAGTCTAAAAAGAGGTAAACTAACCGATCATAGTTAGATTTTCGATTGTCGGTTGAAGTACTGGAACTAGAGTACGATCTTCTTGATGAAGAGGACCTATGCCTTGAGCGGTATCGATTTGGACTACGTTTGTACCTCCGGTAAGAACTACGATAACTTCTGCTACTATTACTATTCCGCGTTCGACTATGATATCTCCTACGGCTCCTGCTACCACGAGAACTGCGTGATCGCCGACTACTAGATCGAGAGGTGGAACGGCGGTAGCGACTTCTCGATTGCAGGGGTCTTCTTCGTTCACTAAAACTAGGAGAGGACCTGGAAAAAAGATATAATATGAATCACATAACGTAAACCCGATTATGAAACGACTGAAATCACTTACTGGTTTGATAAAAGGTTTATTATGAATACTTTGAGGTCCAATAGTGTATTTGGGCATAGTAATGATAATTCAATTAATCCCGCTGTTTTGAAACAAAGACATCAATGGCTTAGTCATGCTTTACGAATTTCATCTCAATGGCTCCTACGTTGCGCATTTATTGTTGACTTCGAGACTTTGTGGAGAAGGTGGATAGTCAGTTTATGACATGGTGCTGTAGTATAAATGATAGCTAATATAGCGTTGACAACTATCACAGTTCATCATGAATTCCCATTCGAGGTCCTCAAGATTGAGTAACTTAGTGGTTGTTTTCAGGTATGGCTCAGAAAGGGTCAATGGTGATTCCTTTTTCTTTTCCTTAAAATATTATTACTTCTATTTATGGATTGCATTTTTTGAGTGGTAAATACTTGAGTATTTACACTGTTCTAACAACAAATTAATAACATAATCACAATTAATAAATAAAAAACTACCCTATAATAAACTTCATCCATGGACAACAATAACTTTACCGTGTGCGAGATTCAGTTCTTGTGGATTTTGAACCAGATGCACTGACAAAACTACTTTTACTCTTAACTACTGATGTTTGTGATGTTGAGCTGAGTAGCTTTGAAACAACAGAAGCTGCGACAGCAGATGCAGCTGATCCAGGCGGTTTAGAATCTAATGAACCAGATGATCCACCTGCATTTCGATCAGATAGCAATGTTTGTTTATTTGAACCAAATCGTGAACTCCCACTAACATTTCGTTTATCATCATTATTGTCTTCATTATCACCAAATGTAGTGATGTATTCTACACGGGAGTGTTTAGGGCGACGAAATCCACTACGTGATCCTCGATTGGAGTAAGATCGCTAAAAAATGAAATACGACATTTATAACATTGGTATACTTATCATGTACAACCTATAGGATAAAGAATACGATGTTCCGTCAGTACAAATGTATATCATAACCGAATTGGACTTTAATACAAAGCAGAATGAATACTTATATATTTAAACAATGATCATGTTTATAAAACTAACAGTAATGAATATAGTCAACTTCACTCAATATGATTCTGATTAAAAATAAATGTACAGCAATATAAACTTGCTAGGTCATCATCATCTGATGACTAGGGAGTTTTTTCAATTAAAGACAATTCTCCATTTGACGAGCTTCTTTGAAGGTAAATATATTAGCTTTTAAATTAAGTCGGATAGGACAAAATACAATATATGGTTTACTGTCATCCATTTGAAAGAATGAGAACATTTAATATGGCAGAATGTGAACCGCTAGGAATAAAAGATACATTTGAAACACACCTAAATTGTATTCAATAATCCAGTTGAACCTTTTGGCACTCATCAACTAGGAGTGCTAGCAATTCATGAAGGAACTAAGGTGCTTTGTAAGATTCAAACCTGTATCATCCAGTAGTTAGACTTTATTCAGACAACTGACCAGTAGACTTACGAAATCGAGTCGTTATTTTAGCCAGTTTTATCTTCAGTAGTGGCAGAATTAGTGAGAAGAGTATAATAAGTAGCTAAAATATCGAAAGTTAGTGACTACACTCGAATTTATTACTTATGGATTGAGAAAAGAAGTAACTTTCAAGTAAAAAAAATACATCACTAGACATACATCAGATGAACTGGAACGGTGGCCTCGGACGCTTTCTCCGCTGCTGCTTGAAGTACGACCAGATTTTGAACGGTATTTTGAACTAATACTGTGACCTGATTGTTTGTTGTTCCGACGACATAGACTTATCGATGTCATCCCACCAATAAGAATAGCAGGTCCACGAGCATTTGAAAGAATTGGTTTAGCACGAGCCCTCTGAGCACGAATAGTGGCTGCTTTTGAAGTAGGACTTCCGTAAACAATACCTGAAAAATCTTGATCCTCCACATCCGATGGATAATCACCAGAATCTGACGAACTAGCAGATAAGTAGACAGTTCTTCTGGAAGTAAGAAAATAAATTTTCAAGTTAGATTCTGTTATTATGTAAATACAGAGTAGATACTAAAGTATAGAGATAGACAATTTAAGGCTCGCACGACCACTTCGAAATATACATAAAAGCGGTTGAGAAAGAAGCATTTTAAAGAGTGGTTTAACAAAATATGGCACGTGGTTTGGTTACCTCTAATCTGTCAATAAGGCCGCCAGCCACCTCCAATATCCCTACGACCTCAACTGGTCATGAAGCTGACAACGCTCCGTCATATTCTTCTGGAATTTGTTTAATTTGTCGTATGCCTCTTTCTCTAATGCTATTCGATTATCATCTCATGTTTCCATCTATTCAACCAGTTAAGACCTACTATCTCGTTCAACAAGAAGTCAAATCATCTCATCATATTCACAGAGATGCCTACGTCTAACATGTTTTGTAAGCACCTGGAAAGTTAACGGTGTACAGGACAGATGTATCTAAATGGATCCCTCAGCAGCGGAACAATAATCACTTACTACATAACATATATCATACAAAAGACAGGGTAACATAACCAAACAAAAAATTGTCTAGCAAGTCAAGAAGAGATGGATAATCAACAGATTATATATAAAAGGGAGGAAAATATTGATCACTAGAGTCGATCCAAGCAATTGAAACCTTTAACACAACTTTAAAAACGACTAAAATTATGGTTTTAAGTCTCAAAAAATGGGTAAAATATCCTTAATCTAAACACTAAGCATACAAATAATCCTGCTGAAATCTGCTCGAGAATATAGTCACGAGATACTAGGACTCAATAATGATCTTTGACGACAGTTTGACCACACGTTAGCTAGTTAACAGATATATTTTTCTTTTTGTCACTGAGATACCTGACCATGATTTTTAGATGGAACTAACAGTTACGAGCGGACAATAGCCTGATTGAAAATTTATATGCTGTGGCTTTTGAATGAACTCAATACTAATAAGAGGAAACTTTTACAAGAAACATTTGCCTTTTTTGGATACATTTACACTTATGAACAAGAGTTTTGATGCATATGAATTTCAGTAAATCAAAATTAAGATTTCACATCATAAGCAAACAGCTGAAGTCAGTATTATGCTTTATTACAACTAAAATGACTTAAGAATCCAACGCACTAATGAAAAACTGCTCATAGTTGTAATAATCATATCAACATAGTGACGCTGTTAACGCTAATGATTGCTTAAGCAAACGTTTATTTCATTATTAAATAATCTATGTTAGTATATTCATTAAAAATGTCGGCATTTTGCATGTGCTATCCATTAGATGTAGCATTCATATTCATGTGGCCTTGGAATGAATAAAAGTCTGCCAACTTCTTAATACAGCTGGAATGATAATTATCGACCTCATCGATTGATTAGCTCTCCTTACTCAGTGAACTACGCTCAAATTCAGCATAACTCATTCAAGTTTTATACCATATATAATCAACCCTTCGAAGAAATCCACCATGACATTAGTTGGCTGACGCTGAGGATTTATCCGACAGAGTCAGAACTACTTTTGAAAGAATCGGTGTGCAACAAAGTCTTTAGGTTATGAGTGTGACTCAATGGAAGAGATTTGTTTTTGTCATCACAAAATTTATTTGCCAAGTAAAGATCTGTGTATACAGCCTACGAGTCACACTATGTGAGAGTTAATGATACCATCCGTCTGCCTAAACTGGAGTAAATGTATCGGGATTCAAATTTGCAATCAGTGGTTGAAAAGCGAACGCCTTAACCACTAAGTCAAAGTTTCATTAAACACATTCGTTATTAACTCATTTACCCGATACATATCTATGTACTTGGCTTAAAGCTAAGTGTGACGGCTAGAGATATTACTTAGTTACCTAAATCGAAGAAGGTGGAGGGCTGTACGAACCTGCGACTTAATAGTCGAAAGTTGAACACCTTAATCAATAAACAACTGTCTCTAGAATAACAAAATAATCAGCTAGTACGCCTCAGATATTGATCCAAGTAGTATAAAATATACGTTTAAACTTTGTAAAGAACAAAACAATTATTTACCTGGATATCGGTTGTCCATTTAAAAGACCAATCCTATTTTTTCACGTCCAAATATAAAAACAACAAATAAAATTAACAATAATAAATTGAAAATAATTATCAATCTAAGGAAGTATTTAAAAAAAGATACTATGGTACAATGATCACATTGGTTGTAAATATCTGTACCTAAGGCTACAATGACTATTTCAGATGAAAATTTATTAAAAAAAAAACTAGTTCTGCTCAGTCATAATCAACATAGAGCTTGGAACATATGTGCAATGATCAAAGTAGAAAAAAGAATATTATTATTAACAGAAAATTCAATGACTCGTCAGTAATTACATGCTATGCGGAATGTGTTGAAAGGAGACTAGGAGCAACTAGATAAAGATATAATATCAGTCCATGAAGCTATCGATTATCAGTTTAAGTTGTATTTAAAACAGTATAAACTTTCCGGCTCTAATCCACTGAATAAGCACAATCTGTTTCTTTCAACTTGAAAAACAGTCATCATTATATGCTGTGAAAGACATTTTTGTCTGGTCGTCTAAACTAGTTATGGTCAGCTAATTCTCTTTAACAAATTTGCACTGTAACAATAAAATACTAACGATTTCAACCCAAACTATTTTTTTCCAAGTGAATATAATCTTTACACTGAACTTGATTAGCATAGAATAAATTTAGTCAAGTCATCAAGTTACGAAATAGAATAATATTCAAAGAATAATGATTAATTTCTTATAACTAGCGTACTATCCAATAAATTTTAGATAAGCCTAAAACTCAAAAGATTAATTTATGTATCAAGTTTAATACAGTTACACATCAGCTTATTCTATATGTATGCGTATATGTAAACATGAGTCTAGTTGAGTAATACAGGATTAAAATAAAATATTGTAGTCGAATTCCTTTTTATTAAGCAAATACGATAGAGACATGTTTTTTTATATATCGACGATGATTTCATGATATATACATATAAAGCCAATGTTACAACTGACGAACCAAATAAGAGTTAAAATATCAATATGTCAAAATCCACTTAAAATAAACGCCTAGCTTGAGATGGATGTATATAAGTCTAAGTGAATTACACTTTGTGGACAAAAAGCGTTCATCTACCTAAAGGAGTCCTAACCAATGGTGCATATCAGCATTAGGATCCTAAGGGAACGAATGGAATATGAACTATACTGGTCACTGGCTACCATGAGATTGCACCTACTAATGTATTCCCACTAACATACGGAAAGGAACTTTAAGTTGAAGATTTGGGGAGTGATTCTTTCTGAAAACCACCTGTCTCAGTTTAGATGCCCGAGCACAGCATTCAAACTCACAAGCAATACGGATTGTTAGTGGAGAAAGTAACGATTATGAGCTACTTGTCTTATCACACCATACATTATCACAAGAGGAAAATAACAAGATGAAAAGCAAAGAATGAAAAAGTGGACACAATAAATACATAATTCAATTAGAACGAGTAAGAATGAAGAATAAAAAGCAAAAAAACGAATCCAAGTTCAAGATTTTTAAAGGAAGGTAGAGAAAATGGGTACAATTGAGTCGTTGTGACCGCTTTTTGATAGTTTCACTCAACGTCTGCAACTATGTATTATGATTATCCCAAGGATCTAAACAACGAGATATCTGTCTGTATTTAGAGACGAAACTGGATTAATGCTGTCAAGTACCTTATAATATTAAGTATATTTTTAAGAAATAGTTGAAATGCCACTGATTTTCTCTAAGCATAGAACATTGAATACAGTGTTTCATTGCACTACTGCGTCACAACGTGCATCACTACACACTCATCAAACAAAATAAAGCATAATTAGACCTTTAAGTTATTTGGTTACCTTCAAAATTCGAGACATTAATTTAATCAGTATAAAGCACAACTATATACACCTTGAAGGTAGAATGAAAATCAAACATTTATTATTCCCAAACCTGTCCAATCATTTAAATTTTTTTGATGTACAACACACATATATCAGAATTTTGCCAAGATGATGCATTGTTCGACAGACCAATATCAGTTCTGTTAGCATAGAATAAATAAAATGAATATATCTACATTCGATATTTATCTACATAAGTACAGGTAGTTAGTTACTCACGCACTTTGTGGTCAGTAACCGGGGGAATTTCTCCTGAGCTCGACGTTCTCTTAATAAACGTCTAGAACGTCTAGATTTACGACCCTGTATGTAGACAATGAAAGACAGAAGGAAAAATTATGTACATGTATATAAACCTAGCTGTTACAGTAACATAATAACTTTGATTAAACATATATAGAGTATCAATATAACAGTAAAATATGAATGAGACTCTTCTACAAACATCTGAAGCATACGCTTAATATTTTCTGAAAGGTTTATTCAGTGAATCACAGATTATTTCACCTTTGGTTTCTAGAACGTTTTTAAGCATACAGTACATATATAGTGCTATCGAATTCCCCATTTGGAATAACTCATTGACTCTCTGAGGATTCTTCTTTCATAAAGGTTGAATGTACACCTCAACGTTGAATGTCATCCATTATGTCAAACTTGGATTATTTAACATTGAACAAAGTCCACTATGTTGTCAAGTTATACAGTTCAATAAAAAGTACCGATTTATGCATAAACATTAGCGAAGATTTACAACTGTGCAAATAAAATTAGATGGACTGAAGTTCAACCATGAGACTGAGAGGTTAAAAGTTAACAGTTTTGTTAAATAAACCACCGCTTCATATAGA